TCCCATAACTTTTGTCAGAACGATCAAGATCGAGATAAATATATAGAAAGGGTGTGAGTGTGGGAGGGGGGGGGGCACAGAGGACAGAAAAAGGGAGTCAGGAGCAATTTTCAGTAGCCAAATCGCTTTTGAATCGAGACTATGTGCATTATGTGGGCCTTAATGAGCTTTGAACGTACTGAAAAGAGTTCTTGCTTATAGCTTATTTCTGTCGAGATATTTAATTTTTATCACATTTTTTAGCAAAAAGCCGTGGTCCCCCTCAGGTTCACTTGAAGAATCAGTTCTCGAATTTCGACTTGAAACTTTGCACAGAGAAAGGTCTTGATGAGACTGGTTTATTCTGAAAGTTTGAGATCTTTAGGTTCCTTCTATCCCGAGATACAACTACAAGAAAAAATACTCGTTTTCACATCATTATAGCACAAAATGTTAAGTGTTTATATTTAAGGATAGGAGCAACCAAGAAATTTGAAACTTTCAGAATTAACTAGTTTTATTGAGACCTCTCTCTATGCAAAGTTGCAAGTCGAAATTCGAAAGTTGATTCTTCAAGTCGACCTGAGGGGGATCACAGCGTTATGTCACAAGACGCCGTAAAAAAATCAAATATCTCAACAAGAGTTTAAGGGGGTCCCCCTCAGAAACGAACTTGGTCATTTTTCATCCAATTTCAACCAAAATTTCAGAGAATGTTAGTCTTGACTAGAATAGCTTATGGTCAAAATATCTCCCCCAAATCTCAAAGAAATGCACAAGTTCCAGTCAATTCATTACCCTTTACGCGTTCAAGGATTTCGCAATAAGGATGCAAGCTAACATGTCGAGGCGATTTTCAGATTATAGAGTGCCATTAGGGCTAGGTCATAATAGAGCCCGATTTTTGAATTTCCCTTTGTTTGATTTTTAAAAAACCTTTTTCGTAAAATTCACGAAATTATGCCCAAAAAAATTGCTTACAAAGATGAAATAACTAAGTTTTTTATTTCACCAAAAGAGAAATTCAAAAATCGGGCTCTATTACGATCTAGCCGTAACTGTCCTCTATTCAACAAAAAAAAATTATCCCTTATCTATTGAGTTGTTATTAAAAAATCCTTGAACGCGTAAACGGTATACTCGAAAAAATTGATTTTGAGAAAAACGAAAAATAAGTATTAGAAATTGATTTTTTCGAAAATCGCCTGATTTATATATCAGTGTTCAAGACAGGCTATAAATATGTCATCTTAATATTAAGTTTTAATAGTTTCGTAGTGATTAGTATAAAAAAAACTTTACGAAATGCCGATGCAAAGAGAAAGGAGCCTAAAAAGTCAAAAAACCTTGAAAAAACACCATGAAAATTTCTCGAAAAATATGGTAGTAGAAGCCAAGTTTTAGACGATAAGTTCGTCAAAATCGATTCAATTTTTGGTAAACCATAGATATTCTAGAAGAGGAGACTTCGGTACATCTTCCTATGATAAAACTTCAATTTCGACCCGTCTTCGAAAAATTGGATTTTCTGAAGGGGGGGGGGGGGGGCCCCCCTTAATTAGTCGAAACATTTCCGGTGACTTCAATTGTCATATCATAAGGATAAAAATCGTTCTTGATTAAAGGGTATATGAAAAACATCGGACAACAGATGCTGCACAGGGTATCTATAGTTCTTTGAAAGAAACGAAATTAGTCAATACAAACACCTAATACTTCATAAGAACAAGAACTTGATTCACAATGCGACTTTAAATATTGCATCTTTATTCTGTTTGACAATTCAATTCAGCGTCATGTTCCCGTTGATCGAAGCTATTATCCTACAAGGAATTTTTATGTTCGAGTTTACACAAACAATGATCTTTCTCGATGCGTATATTGTAAATTATGCTCGATGAATACGGTAAGACATTACTTTTCTTAAATTCACATACAAACATTTTATTTTCAATATCTTTTGTTTATTCGATACAGATTTTAGCCGAAGTTACTTATAAGCTTTCTCTATCAATGGGTGCTTGACATTTATTTGATAGTAATGGAAATTAAATTTTTAGATCAGAAGAAATTAAACAGAACAGATCGTATTACGTGACATAAGTAAAACAACGTTAATAGAATCAGTTTGAACTTGCTCATTTATGCAATTTTTGTCTTCGTTTTTACGATTTTTTTTCTTTTTATTTCCGTATGTTTTTTCTTTGATTTTTTCCAAGCTTTACATCACACGCATAAGTGATTGTTATGATGAAACGTAACTTTGTCATGTAGGCCCTTCATATTATTTCCACAAAAGGAAGTCCTCACTGCTTTCATTCACAATATTTGTCTTCTATTGAAAACGATATTGTTTTAGATTCATCTTTAGCGTACGCAATAACTATAAGAGACTCAATCAAGTACGCATACTAAAATCAGAGTGGCAAAGAGAGGAGCCAACCATGCAATCAATTATGAGAACGGAGATGTTTACATAGAAGAAATAAACAGGCCTAAAGTATCAAATGACACAGGTACATACATACATCACGATGAAGATGGACAGATCCAACAAGATCGTTATATTGGTCAATGAAAAAATGATCAAAAAGATGGTGAAGGCAAGGGTTTATTTAAATACTATGCAGCATCATCATCCTATTTGATTGCTTCGACGATGTTCAGCTTACTCTATGATGAATTGCATGTAAAATCAACTTAGACATCTCCAAGCTATAAAATTGACTATGGGATGAATGAAGTCTATGCTTTTATAATGTGACTGCATTATTGTCTCTAAGCTGATTCAAAAGTTGAATCTTTTTTTTCCGAGATTGATGCAGGTAAACATCACAGCCTAGGGTTCGTAGATAGGTTTCATACGATATCGGAACAATGCTCACACATTATTACTGTAACGGTGATATTTACAAAGGTTCATGGAAAGAGTATATACACGTATTATAATCAGTCATCAGCTGAATATAAAGATGAGTGGAAGAATAATGAAAAACACGGTAAACGTGTCATGAAGTTTACCAATGGTGATATATACAGTGGTGATTGGAAAAAAAATAAAATGGTATCTGCTCAAGCAACTTATAAGAATGGTACACAATATGTTGGTAAGTACAATGCTCATTTTGACTTCTCAAAGTGTACGTAAAAGTCATCTGAGATCAAAAGTTACAGATAAGCAGCTCTTACGACATTGTCTATTTGTTGTAAACAGGTACACTTTTGTTTAAAGTAAGCTCTTTACCAGTTTAATTTTAATTCGTTATTCGATTCATTATCATTCTCCTATGCGGTGGTTCTTTCACAATCATTATACAGTCGATTCAAACTTCTTTTCTGCAAACTTTCTCCAAATGATTGTAGTCTTCGTAGTAAAAAGCTGTGAAACACTTTTTGTAATACTTATCTGGTGAAAGTGGTATTAGAAAAGTATAAAAAGTGGGATGAAATTTGTGTGGCTAGTATTACTAGTTTGATATCATACGAGCTTTTATTCTTTGCTCTTTAGAGATTGAGTAGTTTTTCAAAATTCATAAATGTTTCAAGTTAAATAACTGGCCTTCTAATTCAAAATGCTCTGAAACAAGAGTAAAATGCAATGTGCTATATTACACATGTATGGATTTCATCGTTACTCGATGGTACGAAAGAAATCTTACAGTTTAAGGATGACAAGTAGGAGATCTGGTTCAACAACACATTATCTATCTCAATAGTACTCGATCATTTTTGCTATGTTTAAAGTGCCTGTAGAGAAGTGTTGAGTAAATTTTCTCGATTTAATTTTGACGTTGCTCTCATTTTTAGGTCCCTTTAAGAATGATAATAAACATGGAAAAGGCATATTAATGTATAGCAACGTCGACAAGTATAAAGGCATGTTTGAAAATGGTAACAGGCACGGAAAAAGTATATACACATTCAAAAATGGTGGAAGTAGAGAAGGAAACTATACAATTGATAAGCGAGATCGCGAAGCTTTGAGTATCAAACAAACAGCGAAAACAACTCCAAAGTAATATGATCAATCAAAAGATAATTGATCAAGTTCTGACCAAGAATCAGCAAATTGACCTGACTCTATGACGAAAATAAACTAAATACGTTCATTTTTTTTTGTATGATGAGAGTAGCAAGAAAAGAAAAATAGCGAACAAACAAAAAGCATCACTTCGAAAACACCGAAAAAAATCTTGAATTAAAAAAGAGTTCATACTTATTTAGAAGAGTTAGCCAAATACAGAATGCGAAAAATATCTAAATCTAATTCTGAATGATATCTACCGTTTTTGAACATAAAACTCGTGTCTCATCTGTATAAACGATGGAGACATTTTCTTAACGTTTGAGACTGCTTCATGGATGAATTTAATCGTCAAAGCATGAACATTAAGGTATGTACATATGCATTTAACATGTTAGATATATGTCATCACTCCTAGTTATCATTTTCAACATTTTCATACATTCCGAATTCATCATTTTCTCAGAACATTGCCAAACTATTTTCCGACCGAAAACGATATTCAAGAACTGACAACAATTAGTTGAGTGTCATATTGATTTATGTGTTGAGAAAAAGAAAAGAAGAAGAGGAAGAATTTGGTATGACAACTAAGTGAGTGAAAAGCATAGACGGGCTACTGCAATTCGTTCAACCACCCAGCTTAATCAGAAATTCATAACATTCATCCATATAAAATTTTACCAAACATAAGACAACATGCCGGCTATATATGTGACTCTTGTCTTTACCTGCAATGGGCATCCGTGCTTTCATCTAGATCTAAGTTCACACAGCCAAAAAAGAGTCTTTCATTTTTTGTGAGTTTGAGTGTCGACTGGTACAACACTTATTTCTGCATCCACACTCATCTTAGCATACTCAGAAGGTTTTCATGATTGGTCTTATCAATGTACAGTTTCTTTGACCAGCATAAGCCTTCAAATCAGTTTCATGATATTATCGACGTACAATCTATTCAGAAACCATTAAATCCAATCCAGTTTCAATCTCAGCTTTGACGAGTGATGCTAATTTTTACTGAGTCACTTGTATTTTTCATAGTAAAACTCGATCAAGGTTCATCGGCGTCTTCAATTCTCAAGCTGAGCCAATAATGCTTTCGAAATGTTTTCTTTTCTTTTGTATTTCGTGATTATATAATGAACTGAATTTCGAAGAGTTATTATTTTCTTAGAGATTTTGTGTTCAGAACCACTTTTTAGACAAAGAAGTGTTGATTGTTTATAAGATGTTTTATACACTATCAGAATGTGTAATTACCTTTTTAAAAAAGTACTTCTATAGTGATGAATACTTTAAAAGAAAATTTATCTTTCGAAATATGTAATTTATTTATTTAATATATGTTTATAGAGATAATACACTAAAAATACGTACTACAGCTATTTTCAAGATATATAAAATAATGAGATAAAATATATACGCTAAAAAGAGTTCAATGAAAAAAAATCACTTGATAGTTGTAGGTACTTAGTGTCTTGACCTTTTCTTTGTCAGCACGATATTACCACAAGCAATTCGAGCACCCGAATTTCTATTATAGAATTATCATTTAAATTGAAGGTTAGATAAATTAGGTCTTACCCAGTAGTTGTACTGTCTGGTAAACCACCCTTACCACCATCATCTCGCATTGCATGTAGAACAATGCATCGATTAACAATAGATTGTTTCCCATTGTATAATTTTATAATCGAATCTTTTATGTTGATGTTAATCTTGCCAGCATGATCACTAATCACATTACCAAGATCTCCAACATGTCGATTCTTAATATTTGCAGTAATAGGACCATGTGTTGTATCTGGAAAAGAAAATTGCGGATAAATTATTCAAGATGGTTGCCAAAAACTAAGATTAAACTCACTGTAAGGATTGAAGTGAGGTCCAGCTGCTGTACAGCTGAATTCACCAATCTTTAGTGGGTCTCTGTGTACGTGGAAGCCCTAAAATAATAGTAACGATCTATTCAGGATCAAGTAAGTTCAGACACTGGTGTTTTGGTTTTTCAATTATTTTTCATTTGTCAAACTTACATGAACAACTTTGGGTCTCATGCTCCGAATGTTACCCCTAATAATGACTGGAGAGCGAACGTTGTATTGTATAAATTTTAAGTAGCCAACAACAACTTTACTGGAATCTGAATGGACTGTAGCTTCCGCCATTAAAGTACTCTGTGCATTGCGAATGAAGAACAATGAAATAGTAGCAAGAAGTACGAGCATTGTGTTGTGATTGATTCTCTTTGCAAATAATCTAATAAAACAGAGTTAAATGCTAGAATGTTCTATGATATGATAAAACTTTTTCTAGTTTTGTTGAACCATCTACGTGAATTTATCTAACAGATAAGAAACAAGTAACACTCGTCCGTATGACTCGCTTGACCCTCGACTGTATATTCAGTCCTTTTATATTTTATCCTGTTTTACAGCATTCAAAACAGCTAGTATCCAACGTGTCAAAAGAATGGATGGATGTGTGTGCATTGATATTAGCGTCAATCTTGTTGTGCACAATGATATGCGGGTTTCAATGAACATTTTTGCCACAAATACACCTAATCAAATTGATATTCTCACATTGATACTCAACAATAGTCTAAGGAACTACATTATGGCGGTGATATCCACATGCACCCAAAAAACGGATTATATTCAATTTTCTGAGTGGTTACGAAGTAAAACGCATTCACAACACTATTGTGAAACAGCGCTACACTCCTTGAAATTTCTATTAGAAATCCGTTGGCTTACCAAAACATCAGCCGGCAATACTTTTTACTGGGGTGTGCGCTACAAAAATACGGGTTCAGTTGAACTCCTAGCTTAAAACTAATCATATTAGATCTAGTCTTCAATCGAACTGCCATACTTGAAAGAAGCTCCTACTCAAAGTAACCGTCCGATTACATACGTAAGTTGAATATATCTGTATACATTTCGACATTTGAATGACTACAGACAAGAACACATATCAGCAGAAAAATTCCCGTTTATTTCACTGATATGTATTTCTGATACTATGAATATAAAACCTCTGACTGATGTTTTCTATCAAATGTAGTGTTAAAATATTGTGCACGGGCAGAAAAAAGCGTTCTCACACTTTATTTCAAAATATTCCTCACTACTTACCAACTACTACTCCTTCTTCAAACCCATCAGGTCTAGACTGTTGATTTTTGTTTGATGAATACAAACAGCCTGAAACGTGTCTTCAAGAGATTTTTTTAGTGCACCGGCTAGTCGTTCGTCGGAAACCGTTCGAGGCAGTACTCATGGCTAGTCATTGTTATGTTTCATTCTATTTTTTCATAACGTCATCCTGTTTTATTTAGACTTCACCTAATCTCAAATTCGGCTTAATTTGAAAACTTATTTGATCTGTAGCACGGGAATTGTCGATGGTAATTTCTAAACCAAAGCATCATTGTAAACTATTTCTGATTTCTTCAATTTCATTCTGCAACTGGAAAATCAGAGTTTTATTGAAATCTCTCATTAAAGAAATATTAGTGAGCATTCTCAAAAAAATCTAGCTTTTAAACTTATTTGTCGTGAGAGAAATCTGCAGAATGGTTGCAATATGAACCATTAGTCGCTCGTTTTACATGAGGGCACTTCTGCAAACAGTTTGTTTATTGTTATTGAACATAAAAGATATGGCATCACTTTTATTACTTTCTTCGAGTTATCGCAACTGGAAATTTCACAAGTTGGAGATCCTCCAGACATACGCAAGGTTAAAAAATTGTTTTTTTGTAATAATAATAATAAAAAACAATTTATTGGCATATCCCAGTTTAAGGCCCTGCTCCATCTATGTATAGATTTTCTCAGAGCATAGGTATAACTATATAAAAGAAGTGGGAGAAATACGCTTTCAACATCAGTTCTATTGGAAAATTGCTAGAATATCGAGCCAATTTTTTTCCATTTCCTCTATCGCTTCAAAAGACAGCGTTATTTCTCTTTGAATATACATGGCTTTTATTATGCCTCTAAAAACTGCCGACATACGAAGATTTGACATGGGAAGCACCTCTTAGTGAAATCACAATGGTATCTTGATAACAAATACATAAGGCTTCAAGACGCGAATCACTTCGATCATTTAGAATGGTGAAGAGTATTGTCGAGCTGTTCCTAATCTGCTTGTCTTCGCAATTTTTCAAGACATTCTAAAAGTTACCTATGCACAACAAATAGCTCTGGTGTCTCTTCGAATCATACAGCACCGGTTCAACTGACTAAGGCTTTCTTATAACTATCGAATACTCACGACCAATTTCAGTAGCATATTAATTGCTATCGTTT